GCCCATTGCCAGGAGTTATCACCTGCCTATCTTAAGGTCCCAGTGACTTCAAAATCCAGCTCTCTCTTGAAATCCCCATTCCACAATAAGAATTAATTTTTTTTTTCAGTTTTTGTGCCACATCTGGCAGTTCAAAGGGAGTTGCTCCTGACTCTGTGCTCAGACAGCACTCCTGAAGGAGCTCTGGGGAACCATATGGGATGTTAGGGAAGGGACTCAGGTGAACCTCATACAAGACAAATTCCCTATCAGCTGTACTATCTCTCCAGTCCATGAATAACTTATAAAACTTTTTTGGTTTTTGGGTTAAAACTGGCGATTCTCTTGGGGCTGGAGAGATAGCACAGCGGGTAGGGCGTTTGCCTTGCACGCGGCCGACCTGGGTTCGATTCCCAGCATCCCATATGGTCCCCTGAGCACCGCCAGGAGTAACTCCTGAGTGCAGAGCCAGGAGTAACCCCTGTGCGTCGCTGGGTGTGACCCAAAAAGCAAAAAAACAAAACAAAACAAAAAACCCAAAAAAAACTGGTGATTCTCAAGAGTTACTCCTGGCTTTGCCCTCAGGAATTACTCTCGTCAGTGCTTAGCGGACTGGGGTAGAACCCAGGTTGGCTGCATGCAAGGCAAATGTCCTGCCTTCTATACCTATTGCTCAGGTCCCACACTCCTTAAAACATTATTAACATTATCTACCATAAAAGCTTATGAAATTTGCCTACTATTTAGTGATTTACATGAATTAATAGCTTCCTTACAGGTTCTAAAATGTATCGAGGGGCCTGAAGAGGTAGCATAGTGGGTAAGGTGACTGACTCGCATACAACCCACCCAAGTTCAGTCTCCAGCACTACATATGGTTCCCCAAGCCTAAGCACAGCGCCAGGAGTAAGCCCTGAGCACCACCGAGTGTGGTCCAAAAACCAAACAAAATAAAATTTATTTACAGGACCTGAGCTGTAGTAAAGGGGTTAAAGCACTTGTCTTGCACCTTCCCAATCCCAGTTGAAATCCCTGGTACCCCATATGGTCCCCCAAATACCACCATGGGTCACTCCTAAGCACAAAGCCAGGAATAGCCCCTGAGCACAACTGGGTATGGTCCCAGAACCCAAAAAAGTAAAAATAAAATGTATTCATCATTGCATCGCTCCAAACTAACAGAACAACTTTTTTCCTTACTCCTGGCTCAGGGATCACTTCTGACAGGGTTCAAAGGACCGCATCTAATGCTTGGAATCCAACTGGCTTTGACAGCATGCAAGATAATTGCCATAACCTCTGAACTAACTCTCTGGTCCTTTTTTTGTCTTTGGAGCATACATGGTAGTACTCAGGACTTCCTCCTGACTCTGTGCTCTGGGTTCACTCCCACTGTTTCTCAGGAGGCCATATGGAGTGCCAGGGATCAAACTCAGGTCAGCTACATGCAAAGCAAGTGCCCTGCCCTGCTGTCTTATCTCTACAGTTCCTACTCCCCTATATTTACATAAAATCTTGGTAATTATACAGGGCTCCTGCATAAGAAAACTTTAAAAACATTTTTTATTTTAATGAATCATTGTGAGATACAGTTACAGACTTACAAATTTTCATTACGCTTCAATCAATGTTTGAGTACCCATCCCTCTACCTGGTGCCTATTCTCCACCACCAATGTTCCCAGTGTCCCTCCCACCACCTCCACCCCTGCATAAGGAAACCTGAACTATGATTTCACCCTGAGATGCCCAGTCAAATCCTCATTAACCACTCACCTGCACAGAGCACAAATTATTCATCTTCTATTCCACAAATTATTGTGGCCTCATTTATTCAAGCAAGTATTTGAGAATTTACCACACAGGGCACTGGGATATCATGATAAATAGTCCCTGGCTGGCTCAAGGACCACTAAAATAGTGAGGAGGAGGAAGGTTCACCAATAAACCAGCATGATAACACAAACCTAGATGTGGAGTTCTAAGGAAGCAAGTTTAGAGAAGGTCTAAACCAGTATTGGAGAATAACAGAAATCTTTCCGGAGAGCACAGTATTTAAATTGAGATTCAAAGGCTAAGAGTTAATTGTGGAGAGGGAGGTTATATAATCCAGGAGCAGGAGAGACAGTATGATGGGTTGTCTTGCATGTAACTGATCCAGGTTCAATCAATCAGAGGGCTCAATGGTCCTCTGAGCCCTCCAGGATTGATCCCTGGAGTATAGAGTCAGGAGGACATCCTGAGCACAGTCAGGTGTAGCCCAAAAACAAACTAAAAAAGAAAGTACTCCAGGCAGGGCTACTGAGATGACTCAAAGGGCCAGAGCACATGCTTTGCATGCAGAAGGCCCAGATTCAAGCCTTAGCACCGTATGCTCCTTTGACCATCACTGTCTGTGTGGCCCAAAAGCAAACAGAAAAGTTTAATCCAAAGTACAGAGGAATTGTACAGTGGGTAGCGCACATGCCTTGCATGTGGCTGACCTGGGTTTGATCCTTGACACCCCATATAGTCCCTTGTGTACCTCCAGGAGTGATTCCTGAGAACATAGTTGAGAAAAAGCCTTGAGCACTACTGGGTATGGCAAACAAACAAACAAACAAAAGATCTGGAAAGAGCGTATTCCAGATTGGCAAAAAAGATGGAAGCTTCAGTTCAGTATAGAATTGTGCTGTAGTTTGATTCAAGTTGAGGAATGGCTAGAAATGAAGCAGATTGTGTGGGACCTTATGAGTCAGCCCTTAAGAACTTGGAACTCCCAAGACAGTTCATGACAGCAGACTCCTCACTCTGTTGATCTCTACAGTGGCAAATGGCTACAAAGATGTGGAAAGGGTGTGAAAATCAGAGGATAAGCAAATTCTAAGTGATGCCTCTCTGACTATAAAATTGTCTTCCTACATCATCTTCCTATCCCACATGATAAGATGAAATTTCAAGAGCCCCCTTAGTGAAGGAGGTAAAGATTATCTTTAAGACCTGAAGAGATACTTATGCAAAGACAGTCAACATACATTTAAAAAAAAAATGCTCATCAGGGTCAGAGAGATAGCTCAAGGGTTGAATGCACACTTCCAATGCAGGAGGCCTGAGTTGGATTCGATTCCTCCCCCACTGGTCCCTAAGGCACCATTGGGGGGGATCCCTGAGCACAGAGCCAGGAGTCACCCCCATGCAATGCCAATGTGGCCCAAATACAATCAAAAAAAGGGGGGAAAAAAAGGAAAAATGCTCATCATCTTTTATCAGAAAAATGACAATCAAAACTAAGATATCATCTTGGGCTACTGTGGCCCAAAACCCAAAAATTAGTAAATATAAATTTCTTGGGGGTCACTTGCCTTGTACATGACAAAGCCAGAGTTGATCTCCAGCATCCCATATGCTCACCAAGCTTCATCAGGAGTGACCCATGAGAGCAGAGAAAGAAGTCAGCCTGAGCATCACTGGGTATGACCCCCACCCCCCATCCCCCCCAAAGTGAAGTATGCACTACTAAGCTCATTGCAGTGATATTAACAAAACTCAAATCTTTTATTTTATTTGGGACCACACCGAGCAGTGCTCAGGGTTTATTCCTGGCTGTGTTCAGGGATCATTCCCCTGGTGAAGTTCAGGGAACCATATGTGGTACTAGGGACTGAATTGGGGTCAGCCACATGCAAGGTAAATGGCTTACCTCCTATACTATCGCACTGGCCCAATAATTCAGATTTGGAAAAAACCCAAATGTGCATGGAAGGATGAATAAACTATCTATAAATACAATGGAACAATACCCAATGGAACAACACCTCCCCAATTATTTTCAAAAGTACCACTGGGGGTCCAGAGCGATGTTACAATGGGTAAGGTGCTTGCCTTGAATGTGGCAGACCTGGGTTTGATCCTTGGCATTCGATTTGGAGCCCCGAGATCCACCAGGAGTGATTCCCAAGTGCAGAGCCAGTTACTGGATGTAGCCCCAAAACAAATAAACAAAAGAATGGGTATGTACGTTCATGTATCATCAGAAGTGGTGCCAAAATCCTTGAGCACTGAGAGCAAGATCTCCTGACTTGAAAAAATAGCACAATGAAGGAGATATTTAGGCCCTGATACTATGCACCAAGATGACAACGCGTATAAATCAACATGTCAAATTAACTTTGTTCCAGAAATTTGTACAATACTAATTTCTGTTCAACAAAATCTGTCACTGTCACTGTCCTCCCATTGTTCATCGATTTGCTCAAGTGGGCCCAATAACGTCTCCATTGTGACACTACTGTGTTTGGCATATCGAATACATCACGGGGAGCTTGCCAGGCTTTGCCATGCAGGCGTGATACTGTCGGTAGCTTGCCGGGCTCTCCGAGAGGGGCGGAGGAATCAAACTCGGGTCAGCCACATGTTGGCTGAGTGCAAGGCAAACACCCTACCCGCTGTGCTATCGCTCCAACCCAACAACAAAATCTGAGCAAACAAATTCATCTTGCTAATTTGTGAAAGACTGCAAGTGTTTAAAAGTCGGGGTTGGAGAGAGAGAGTACAGCGTGTTAAGGCCCTAGCTTTGCACATGGCCAACCCAAGTTCAATCCCTGGCACCCCATATGTTCCCGTGAGCACTGTGAAGAGTGATTCCGGAACGCAGAGTCAGGAGTAAACCCTGAGCACCACCGAATGTGACCCCAAAATAAGATACAAGGTAACAGGGGATGGTGAGATGGCTCCAGAGTGAAGGCTTTTCATGAAGCTGCTCCATGAGTTTGATAACCGGCACCGTACAGTGTCTTGAGCACTATGGAAAAAGCTCCTGAGCACTGCTAAGCTAGCTATGGTCTCAAAACAAAAACCCAAAATTGAAAGGAATATTACTTTTGACACTAGTCTTCCTGTGGCAAACTGATAGAAATAAATCACCTATAAGGAGCTAAAAAGACAGAAAACCAAGCCAGATAGGTTGTCACTTGAATTTATTCTGTTCTTAAAAAAAAAAAAAAAAAGAGGGATGGGGGAATAACCCATAAACACTGAACAGGAACCACGACTCGTCCAGGGCGTGGGCAGGCTCCCCTCCCCTCAATCTCAGTTCTCCAAATAACTCCCACCCACCCGACTTGCTTTGAAACAAGACACCCAAATCAGCAGCAAAGGTACCTGGGGTTGTCACTGAGAGTTTGAACACTTGGAATGGGACGGGGAAAAAGTCCAAAATAGAGGAGTTGGGATGACAACGGAAGGAATGAGGGCGAGTCTAGGCTGTGGAGGACGGAGCTGGGCCTCAAGAGGCGGAAGTGGGCCCGTGCGGGGTGTAGCCCTCCTGACTGCGGCTGCCCGCATCCCCCAGGGCCCCAGCGAGCCCCACGGTTTGTTCTGCAGTCCATGCCCCTGTTCACCGCGGGCCTCAGAGGCCAAGCTCCAGGTCCTCGAGCTCCTCCTCCAGCGCCCTCCTCCTGGCCAGCTTCTCCAGTTGCTCCCTGCTGGGCTGGCTGATGTCCCCAGCCTGGATCCTTTGCTGCAGCTCTTCGACCTGCCGAAGCTTCTTCTTTAGGTTCTTGATCTTCTTGGCCTTCTCTGTAGAAGCAGCCGAGTCGGCCTGCTCGGAGGCGGCTGTTGGGGCTGCCCGGGAACCCTGCGGGGCACTGGGGAGCGGGGCTGTCTCGCCCAAGGACACCTTCTCAAGAGTCCGGCTCAAGGCCTCTGCCTCCCCTTTCTCCTGCTGCTGCCGTCTCTTCTCCTTTCGCTTCAGGTTGCGTTTGGCTGTCTTGGAGAGACCTGGTTCGCCAGCTTCAGGCCTGGAGGGGGTGACGGGAGCAGTGGCCTCGGGACTCAGCCCTGGGGGCAGTTCCGGTTTACTCTTGAAGAACTTCACATACTTGTTCTCGTACCTGCAGGGAATGGAAGAGGTCAACAGTCTGAATCACTGACGTACCTCAGCCTTTTCTTGCTTTTAGGAAGAAAGTCTATATGGCAGAGCTTGAGGGTCTCTCTGGGCAGGGCACAGGGGACAATGCACTGCCTTCAGTCCTTTGAGAAGCCCCATCCTTTTTCTTTTGGTCTGGGGCCACATTTTGGCGGTGCTCAGGGCTTACACCCTGCTCGGCACTCGGGGATCATTCCTGGTGGGCTTGGTGAACCTTATGCTAGGGATCGAACCAGGACTGCCATGCGCAAGGCAAGGGCATTATCCACTATAGTATCTCTCGGCCCTGCCCTTATCCTTGTGTGTGCTGGGGGGTGGGGGAGCACACTGAACTGTGCTCAGCAGTTACTCCTGGCTCCGCACTCAGGAATCACTCCTGGTGGTGCTCAGGCGACCGTATGGGATGCTGTGGATCAAACCCTGCCTTGTGCAAGGCAAGAGCCCTCCTCGCTGTGCTATTTCTCTGCCCCCTACCCCCATCCTTTCTTTTTTTTTTTTGATTATTCAAAGTATTTATTTTATTTATTTATTTCCAATACCCATCCCTCCACCAGTGCCCATTTCCCACCACCACGGATCCCAGAATCCCTCCCACCCCCCCATCCCCCCATCCCTCTGTGGCAGGGCATTCCCCTCTGTTCTCTCTCTCCTTTTGGGTGTTGTGGTTTGCAAAAGAGTTAAGTCTGATTTTCAGGGAGAAATGTTGCCCCCCTCCTTTTCGTAACCTTCCAAATCACTTTGTTTCCTTTCTCTTCCGATGGTCCCTCTCGCAAGTTTCCTCTACTCTGAAGTTTGTGGGACAGCCTCTAAGTCCCCAAATTCTATACCTTGGGGTGCTAGTTGGAGATTCTGATGAACAGAGATAAAGACACAGGAGCCCTGAACCCTCACTTGTCCTTGAATCCCAGCCCCTTCCTCTCCTTTCTCAGATGATTGCTTCGGCTTTTCATCTCCCGAAGCCAGTTTCACAAGTATACTTTCTTTTTCTTGTCTATGTTTTTTGGGGGACAGGAGGGGCAACTATTTTGTGTCACACCATGGAGTGCTCAAGGCTGACTCCTGGCTCTGGGCGCAGGGGTCACTCCTGGCAGTGGCTGGGGGATCATATGTGGCGCTGGGGACTGCACCGAGGTCAGCCATGTGCAAAGCTATTGCCTTACCCCTGTAGTATCTCTTTGGCCCTTATATGTTCTTTTGCTCAGGCCTTACTCCTGGCTCAAAGTTCAGGGATCACTCTGTCTGGGCTCAAGGGACCATAAGAGGCTCTGGGGGTTAAACCCAGGTAGACCGCGTGCAAGACAAGTACCCTGACTCCAGTACTATCCCTCTCCACATGTTCGTTCTACGGCAGAGACCCCATGAAGTCCCCCTCCACAGGCCTAACCACGCACACTGGGACCTCCTCCTGGGGCACGTAGCCTTCTTTCACCCTCCGCTGCTTGCGCCAGGTACCGTCAGGCCGCTGTGTTGAGGCGATGTACTTGCCTGAAATGAGAGAATTAAATGAAGAGTTACTCTTTCTACGATGATTAATGCATACAGCTTCCCTCAGCACCCAACCACTCAGCAAATGCAAACCCTCAGATACCTATTCTCTTACTAATCTCAAGCCTCTCATCACTACTTCCTGTCTATAAGCTGCAACTTGGATTGCTGTTTTTGAGTGGGGGCCACATTCAGTGGTGCTCAGGGTTACCCCTGGATCTGAGCTCATAGATCGCTCCTGGGAGAGCTTGGAGACCATATGGGATGAAAGGGATGAATCCTGGGTAGCCGCGAGCAAGATAAATGCCTTACCTGCCGTACTATCTCTCTGGCCCCACAAGGTAAAGGTAAAGGCCCTCCCGTTGATCATCGATTTGCTCGAGCGGGCCCAGTAACGTCTCCATTGGAGACTTTGTTGTTACTGTGTCTGGCATATCGAATACTCTCGGTAGCTTGCCGGACACTCCGAGAGGGGCGGAAGAATCGAACTCGGGTCGGCCATGTTGGCCGCTTGTAAGGCGAATGCCCTACCCGCTGTGCTATCGCTCCAGCCCTTCAAGAGGAAGAGCTTTCAAAGGCACACAAGACAGAGCCAGGGAGATGGCTCACTGGGCTGAGCATGCGCTTTGCAAGCAGGAGACCCAGGTTCAGTCTCTAGCACAGTCCTGAGTACTGCCGGAAGTGACCCTTGCACATGAGTTGGATAGCCTGCTATTACTATATAATGTGCCGCAAACACAAACAGAAAAGGCTACTGGTTCCGAACACTTCTCCTTCTAAATTATTCCCTTTCATACATTTTTTCGGGGTGCAGAGAGGGGCTACTCTCTGTTTAGCCACCACCAGGACCGCACCCAGCAGTGAGGAGAAGCTGGGTCTTCCACACCTTTGTTTGTTTTTTGGGGGGGGCACACAGGGCTTACACACAGTAAGCTCAGGGCTTATTCCTGATTCTGTGCTCAGGGATAACTCCTGAGATCACCAAATGGGACTGCCATATGGGGTGCTTGAGATCAAACCCAGGTCGGCCATGTGCAAAGCAAGTGTCCTACCTCCTGTACTACTGCTCAGGCCTCAATTATTTTTGCAATAAACAATGCCTATTTGCTTTCTTTGCTGCGTTGACATTTGGGGGATATAGAGGGGTTGTGGCTATAACCAGCAATGCTCAGGGTTGGTCCCAACAGTTTTCAGGGTGTCATTATAGTACTGGATTTTGAACTTGTGTCAGCTCCCTGCAGAGTAAGTACCTTACCCCTATACTCTCCCTCCAGGCCCTGGATTTGTCATATGTCAGATGGTGCAAAAGACTTAGTGGCTCTTTAGGGACCAAAGCAACTGCACAGCGGGTAGTGTATTTGCCTTGCATGCGACTGACCCGGGTTTGAACCCTAGTATCTCATATGGTCCCCCAAGCACCACAAGGAGTAATCACTGAGTGCAGAGCCAGGAGTAACCTCTGAGCATCGCCGGGTGTGGCCCCCCATGCGATAGTTATTGTGCTGTTCACTGCCATACATTTGCAGTAAATAATGCAGCTTTCACTAAAAAATATCCTTGGTGGGGACCTACGGAGATAATACAGTAGGAAAGGCATTTATTTGCCTTGTATAAAGCTGAGCTGGGTTTGATCCCCAGCACTGTATGTGGTTTTCTGAGCCTCACCAGAAGTGATCCTTGGGCATGGAGGCAGAAGTAAGCCTTGAGTTCAAAATAAAACCAATAACCAAAAAAAATCCTTAATGGGGCTGCAGAGCTATACAGGGTTACGACAAATGTACAAGTAGGTAGCCAACTGTGATCTCTGATTTAGTGCTGTCATATCCCTAGGCTGGAGTATATTTATAGAGAACTGATAGTAGAGGGGCCCAGATTTATGTTGGGAAACAGGCATCAGGTGGAAAGTTTAAAAATGTGCCCAAATCTTAGACTGCCTCAGCATTAAGATCAAGGAATTTGAGGCTGGGGAGATAGTACATGGTTGGGCCCGATTCAACCCCCAGTACCCCATATGGTCCTCAGGCACTGCCAGGAGTGATCCCTAAGCGCAGAGCCAGGAGTAAGTCCTAAACAGCACCAGGTATGCTGCCCCCACACACAAAAAAAGCGAAAACAAAAGAAATCAAGGAATTTCAAACTTATATAATGAGTAAGAGAAGCAACTGAAGATATTGTTTGCTTAAGTTTTACAATATAGACAAAAACAGAAGCTGAAGAATGGAAACAAAAACAAAAGCAGGAGGCCTCATGGAGGTAGGTCTGAGATTAGGGCTTTAGGAAAAGTTGAACCAATGTTAAGTGAAAGGGCATTAGTATGGATTCTAAATAGAAGCTCACTCTGAACAGAATTTTAAACACAGGAAGGTAGGTGGCATGGTCAGGAGACAATGAATAGTGCAGACCAGTTGAGTCAAGAGAGCTGGCACAGAGTAAGGAGGGGGTGATGTTCAGATCTTGAAATGCCAGTTAAAACAAGTTAGTATCTGGCTCATGGAATCCACTCAAAACTATCTGTCAAGTGAACAGATTTTTTTTCTTTTTAATCACAAGCAGTATTTTAAGGAAACTAATCTGGCCCAATTAAGTGGTGAATTGGGAAGGAAGAACATTGGAAAGCGAGGAATTCAGTTAGAAAAGAAAGACTATAATAATCCTGGAAAGAGAAACAAAATTAGCTGAAACAGTGAGACTGGAAAAATGATATATGCCAGAAATACAATCCATGAGTCAACCACAAATTCTTGATAATTCACTGTCAAAGGAACACAATTAGTTCTGGTAAACTCAATCATGAGAATTTAGCATAAGAAAACATTTTTCACAGGACAAAACCAAAACAGAAATAGAGAGAAAATCATGTGAAAACATAGTATCAACTATCATAAATAGCTAGAAACTAAAAATAAAATTTATATTCAGGTACACAGACAGTTTTCACTCCACCCACTATAAATGATAATTATAACCAGAGAGATGGCTCAAAGGGCTGAGCATATGCCTGAGTGAAATCACTTTTTCCCTTTTATGGAGGACAGAATATCTGTTATAACCTTTAAAAGGGCAGGATTTAGGGCCAGAGCAATAGTATAGTGGGAAGGGTGTTTGCCTTACATGAAACCAATCAGGGTTCAATCTCTGGCACCACATATGGTTCCAGAGCTGGGAGTGATCCCTGAGCACAGAGACGGGGTAAGCCCTGAGTGCCTTTGGGTGTGGCCCAGAAACAAAAACACCCCTCTCCCAACAACGAAGAAATAGTAGGACTAGGCAGTCCTAGTAAGAGCTGTGTTTAAGGAAGGAGAAAAAAAAAGTTCCGACACAGAGAACCAGGAGGCAAAGGGACAATTAATCATGTTTTTTCTCAAAATGGGTCCAGGGTTCCTGCTGCCCTTAGGCTATTTTCAAGGAGGATGGACTCATACACAAAGGCCTTTCTGACCCAATTCAAGCTTTCTCACTTTCTACTCCAGCCACTAAAAGCAGTCACAGATCTCATCTGACCTAGATCTCACCCAATTCTCGAGGCCATTGTGCTTTTGCCTCTGTTGGTTTGCAACATACTTGCTTCTGATAGAATTCCCACTGGTCCTTACAGGTCAAGTTCAGACAAAGCCAAAGGGCTAAATTTTGCAAGCTTTAGACAGAGCCAGGAATGGCCCCAGGTACATCTAGGTAGTGTCCAACAAGGCTCCAGATTTAAAATTCAAACAGAGATCATGTTCACTAAAGTCAAGCTTTTTGTCTTGTTTTGTTGTTTAGGGGCCGCACCAGCAATGCTTGGGACTCACTCCTGGCAATGCTCAGGGGCTATATTTGGTGCCAGGAATAAGACCAGGGTTGACCATATGGCAGGCAAACACCTCACGAATCTTTCTAGACCTTAAGGTTCCTGCTGCCCTCAGGCTATTCTCAAGGAGGAAGGATTCATACACAAAGGCCTTTCTGACCCAATTCAAGCTTTCTCACTTTCTACTCCAGCCACTAAAAGCAGTCACAGATCTCATCTGATCTAGATCTCACCCAATTCTCTAGGCCTGGCAGTGCTTGAGAGACCATATGGGGTGCCAGGGATGAAACCTGGGTTGGACATGTGCAAGGCAAGCACCCTATGTGTGATACTGTCGCTCCAGTCATGAGAAAACATTTTAAATGGTCTTAATGGGTACTCAAAGAAAAACGGGGACCAGAGAAACAACACTATGGGTAGGGCATTTGCCTGACATGAGGCTGACCCTGGTTTGATCCCTGAGCCCCCACCTGGAGTGATCCCTTAGTGCTAAGCCAGGAGTAAGGCCTGAGCACAACCGAATGTGGCCCCAAAGCAAAAAGAAGAGCAGGGACGGGTAGGCTGGGGAGGGGAGGACGATCCCACAAAACGAATCCTGATCATTTTCCTCAAGTGGAAACAGTGCCAAGTAACAACAGGAAATTATCCTAGGAAAGCAGAAGCAGGACAGTGCAATGCCACAGAGATGAACAGAATTTTAAGAGAAGGTGATTGATAGTGTTAATACTGCAGAGAGATTATGGAAAAGAACTGAGAAGAAAAAGGGCACTGATTTCCAGGGCGACCTGGAAGTACCCAATTATCTCCAAAATGACAACCTTAGAACAAGAACAGCAGAATGGTCAGAAGGCAGACTACACATTATTTAAACCCAACAATCGTTAAGAGAAAACATCCATGGAAAGAGCACTATACCAGTGTTACAAGGACTACTAGCATGAGTAAGAATGGTAAGTTTCCAATCTGACCCACATCCCACAGTCCTCACCATACAAGCAGCCCAGCTTCACAACTAGTCTCAGAAAAGAGGCTAAGCCCATGCAAGTCACAGGTACAATCTTTGCACAGTCTTTGGGCTGAAAACTCTGGGGGCCCGTCAGGAGAGGGGCAGAGAGGCCAAGTCCCACCTCACACACTAGCTGCCATATAAATGACCCAGCTTCACTGCCTCATAACTGGTATCGGATGTGACACCAAGCAGACGAAACCCCAA